CAAAGGATTGAAACAATGATTATCAATCGATTGGTATACTATAGCTTGCAGTAAAAGTGATATAGAATATTGCCATTAAGAAAGACTTATTCATCTTGGCGTCAGATCGAAAAAAAGATATCAAATCAATACAACATATATTAAGTGCAATAATAAATGTTGTCCATTATGTGATATTTAAACTATGCTTGCTACGAAGCTTAACAATCGAGTTATTCACCATTATTACGTATGGTCTTGTGTCCTTTATCAGGGAACATGCCGAGCCCATGATATTAAAGACTTCATGCTTTCGAAGTAAAATAGCCATCGATTCATTTTTGTGTTTATCTTGAGCTTTGCAAAGATGTTGATGTTCTAAATATAACTGCATTGAACTGACTCAGGGCTTATCAGAACGAGCCAAATCCGATGAATATGTCGCATTCGGCAGATATTCCCAGATTAAATTAAAGATTTTCAAGAATCCAAGTTTTTTGCAACAAATCTTGCAAACCCCTTTCTATCTGTTTGAGCTTAATGCGTTCTTACTCCAAGCCAATTTAATCATTTCCATAGCTTCAATTGCATTCGTTTCCAGTTGAACGCAGTTAAATATCGAAAAAATGTAGTACCATAAATGACATACATACATCTCTTTACAAATTGATACGCACTGAACGAAAGCTTGGAAACAAGTGACACTTGTATTATATATAAGCGACATTTTCCGAGTTACCTATATCTAAAATTGCACCTACAGTTGGATTGATAATATATCCTGTTTCCTTCACCTTTTTTTAAAGGCGGAATGTTGCAATAAAAAAATAACGTATAAACAATATTTTGCGGCTAAGTCGTTTCTTAACGGGACTTAAGATTAACTCTAAGTTTTACAAACAAAATGAAGAATTGATCATGCTCGCATATTACGTTAATAATCATTGGAATAGTATAATAATGTATATATACATATATATATATAAATGGATACATAAAAAGAAGGCAAGATACAATAATTTAAAGTAAATTATCGATGGTTGATCAAACTAAACAGAATGAAAGAATATGAGTAAAATGAAAATATTAAAAGATAAATAGGAAAAATGCAAAAATTATTGCAAAATGTTTTTCTTGATTCTTAGTATCGAAATCTGAATGCTCACGCATACAAAACTTCTATGGTACACAGTTTGTTAGGTTCGAGGAAAAGTTCTAGATTGTCATTTTTTATGTAAGCATTTGCTTTCTTTTGCGTTAACGCGTGTGCTCGCATTAGGCTAGAAATGGATAAAAAGTTTGCTTGCTTCGTTTGTTTAACTGATTGGAAATGGATTAGATCTAAAGGGCTTTAAGTGCTTAATGCACAGTCAAGTGTAAGAAGCCGGAAAAAGGAAATAAATATAAATATAAATAATGTATTATATAATAAAATGATGTAATAAATAATGTATGCAAATAAAATTAAAATAAAATATATGTATACATGAATATAAAGTAATTAAATAAAAAGTGAAAACTTTATAGTGGAACAGGGCCTCACACGGGTAACTCACATCATACTACGATTATTCATATATATGTATATAATGACTTTTCAAAATAATGTGGGAATAGGAGAAATGATCAAAATTTTCAATATCAAATTTCATAGTTCATCCAAAAAAATATCTCAACGATTGCGACCTGTAGGTTGAACAGAGGAAAACAAGGCGGACAGACGGATGGACAAGTTTAAATAGACTCAAAAAGTAGTTCAGAATCTATCGCCGTAATAAAAGATGGGCTTATCCCATCCTTCCTTCAAGGGGATTGCATACATTCGCACAAACTTAATATAGCCTTGTACCACAACTGATGTAGAGTACAAAAATATCGCAAATATATAAAATTTAATAAATATTTTTCAAATATAAATTATCAGTGTTTTCTTTTCTTCTTTTTTTTTTTTTTTTTTTTTTTGGAAGAACAATTGCAACAAATGATGTGCGTACAGAGAAATCCACATAACTATGTCCCAAAGATTGTAAAAAGTTCTATAAAAAGTTTGAGATTCGGCAATTTTCTTACCATGAATCACTTAAAAAGTTCTATGTGTGTTTGCGCATTACATTCACTTAGATATTTGAATTGTGTCTACACAGGTACGGTATGCAATAACCTTGAAAATGAATTTCCACAACTTTAAAGAATTTTGTAATGTAATGTAAAAATCTGATTAATATGGCGATATAATTGCAAGGTGTATGTGCCAAGAGAGTTTAAGGGATCTTTAAACATTTCTTATAATTAATTCCTTTCCTTTCACTTTTCTAAGATAATTAATAAAAAAAATTAAATGATTAGTTAATAAGTACTATGCTGATGCCTAAGTTAAAATTTTTCGCTAAGAAAAATCATATTAACGACAGAAAGTTTCCGCCGACCTAATACATGTAAATACAAAAAACGTCATTGCCATCTACGTTACACCCAGTGTCACCGCAACAAACTTAGCACAGTGCAACGGACAAATGTTAATTTGTCTCAGTATTTTTTTGTATTTTTTTTTTTGTCTTCTTTTTTTCAAGCGTACTTGCAACGACTTTCAAACAGATTCTACGTCACAAACATCAATAGAAACTTTTGCTACTCATGCATACGCATACACATGTATGGGCATATTTTTTAAGCAGCGAACGTAGTCTTTGATGTAAACATAAGGTTTATTGATTTGTGCATCTGCTTAAACAATACTTTTACATCAAATATGTTAGAGAGCGAACGAATTGTGCTTTTGCCTACTGATTGATATAAGAGTGTTCTCGATATTTTCGGTCATTTCCGTGCATTTGATTGAAAACACAGAGAAAGTCATGATATAGTCAGAGGTCAATAGTTAAAGCAAAAAAAAAAAAAAAAAAAAAAAATGTGGTTAGGCAAGCATATATGTACAAACGAGCTAAGAATGAACCTCTTAATTATTTGCTCCATATTAATGCTCGAATTTGTCTGTTTACACTCTACGTCATTTGTTATAAAAATACGTAAAATAATTTGCGAATGCATGCCACTTATAGAAAGACTTGAGATAAAATCACATGTAAAATTGATTTAATCCAATCTATTTTCAATAGGTTTCCTTCTTTGATCAAAATATGTAAAATTTATTATCAACTTTTGTTAGAATATCTCCAAAAATTGCGGCTTCTACGCCGAACATAATAATGGATAGACAGACAAAATAAACAGTCAGACGGACACAGAATTTTAAATCGATTCAGAAATGAATTATGAATTAGTGTTACATGTATGCACACAAATCGAATATAGATCAAACTTATAGGGTATAAATGCGTGCAGTTTGGATTATTGCTCTGCAAAAATCGATGACAAGTAGTACTTTTTCAATGAACCTATGACCTGCTCCTTCCCTTATAAATGTTTTTATAAAAAATTGTTTTTTTTTTTTTTTTAATATATATATATAAATCTAATAATATATATTACATATAATGTTTTTATATGTATATATATATTTATATGTATATATAATATATATTTAAGGGTTTATGTATAAATAAAATTATATACACTTTAATACCTCGTTCTTTCCAATTCTCTTTAATCCTGTGGTCCATCTAAATCCAACCCGTTTTTGCAATCATACAATGTGTGTATGTATTTTTTTGGGAGACCCTGGATACATACATACTTTTTTTTTTAATGCGCCCAATCACACAAAAGATTGGTAAGAAAAAGATAAATAGGTGACGGTCGACCAGAAGATAGCTAGGTGACGGCCATAGACTGATGGATGTGTACTCAATTGGTTAAGCCCAGTAGACTCTAACGCATTTGGGATTTGCATCTACGAACATTGATTTAATAGTCTCGATTCTTACCTAATCGAATATCCATGACCACGAGCAACAAATGTTGGTGTTTTTGTGAGGAAAATATGTGCAAAGTGGTGTAGAGTCGTTAATTAGTTAATGGTCGTCGTTTTCATTAAAATGAAGAAAATTTGGTTTTACATGGAAATCTAGAATCTTGGAAATCAAATACTTATCGCTTCAATATGCACTATAAGCATATGCACCCGTTTAACGTAAACGTGTGTGTAAGTGTTCTATAATCTCTTACACTAGAAAAGTTATGTTTCGTTTGCTTGCGAGAAGAAGTTGATGATTACTCGATAATCTGTGTATTGATTTTTAAGACATCATCATATCACGTTCATTTATTTAACACTTGGCCCGAGCTTTTCACTTCTGAGCATATTGCATAGCTTATTAAATACACATTTCGTAATATTCCGTAGTTCCGGAATGAAGTGGTACAATTGTGAAGCAGAGCTTCGTGGATGGGAAAACAATATGCAATTTTTCTATTTTTTATATTTTTCTCATTATATTCTACGCTTGAGGGTGCGTCTTCAAACCAGCTTTTCGTTCTTTCTCAAATGTAAAAAGGTGACTTGTATCGATTTAGTTAACTATAATTTTCTATTTGCACAGCCGTACTGACATATCAATTGCAAAGCATACGGATATTCTTGCATAGTATTATTAACATTATTAGAAATACAAATACAAGCCATTATAGTGCCGATAAAACGAGCGCATAAAGGAATTTGAACATTCTTCTGCCGTTGTCTAGCCGTTATCTAGTGAACGCATTTAGAGAAAAGTCTATTAAACATGATTATCACTTTCTCAAAATGTATTAAAAATGTGGACTTTTCTTAAATTACGATATTTTGAAGTTTTAGACGAGTTGGCTTCCTTTACGGATCCAAAGCTTTTTTCAATATTTTCCCATTATTGATTTTATATCTAAATAAAAAAATTTATATATTTGACGAGATCTATTTATATATAGACATATATATATATATCTATGTTTATATCCTTATGTAATTGTAAACTTTATCTTTTTATATATATATTCATATATATTTATATATTATATCTAATAAGAGAGAATCGTAGAGGAACATATCTACACCAGATTTAACATTTAATTTATCCGTTCAACAGCTGCGGTAATGTACACTCTCAGCGATATAAAGCCCTCCTAAGCAATCGCCACCAAAGAGAATATAAAAGAAAATAATAAACAACGACTTGAATATCTCTTACGAACATATAAATCGATTAAAAAAAAAAAAAAGAAAAGAAAATAACTAAAAAATATATTAAAAAGATTTCTACGATTTTAGAAAACGATTTAAACTTAGATGCAAACGAATTTTCTCATTAATATTTAACAAAAATTTGTTATTCATCGTTGATTATGAGTAAAAGGGTAAAATATTCTTTATACTTATCCTTTAACATACGTTTTAAATTTTAAAAGGCTACTAAAACAACAAATACATCACATTATTCAAACGACACACGATCGAAACAATCAAAAAGAGTTGCCAAGTCATACAAAACGAAAGAAACAGCCCAAGCAAGACAAAAGGTAAGTAGTGAACGAAACTTTTACTTTAACTTTAGAATATGTTAAAAGACTATATGTGTGATGACTCATTGGGAAGACAATTTTCTATGTCACTCTTGGAAGGCGTTTTGAAATGGATTTTTCGCCAAATTTGATTAGCTCACAAAATGCTTAACATATGAATCAATAAGTTCGTAGGACGATGTAATCAAAGAACAACGACTTGTCGGAATGCCATGAAATTTGGACACATTTCGTTTCGTTTATCATCCTATGCACTGTGTTATCATCCTATAAAATGACATGGGTAAAAAAGAAGTGGAAGGGGGGGGTTGAGATAACTTTCCTATCTTGTCTTCAGCATATTAAGGAAGCTTTAATTAGTATTTGAAAATAAGTTAGCGATTCCGAGTAATATAAGATATCATTTTAATTTCTTTTAGACGTATAAGTGAGTCGATCAAAATCCATTGCGGAAAGTCATTAACAAAATTTGTGTCAAGTTTTTCGCGAATGTTGCTAATGGATCTTGCATTATTTATTTACCTTGACTTTCATTTAGCAACAATCTAAAGTTATTGAATTTATTACGAATACGGTCCAAAGGCTATTCTTTAACCGATTTTGCTTGAAACTTGAACAGAAACCCAATTGCGAAGATGTTTAAGGTGGTTCGGTATTTCCTAAGCAATTTTGCATCCATGATTTACGGGGCAACGGAAATCTCAGAAGGAGACTTCTTTGAACAGTGGATCGGATAAATTCACATTCTTTCTGAATATTTTGGTAAATCCAAAAGAGATGTAATTTCTTGAAATTGTTCTTACTTTCCGTTTCAGATTAGTCTGCAAAACTCTTCGATTCGAACGTATTTTAAGTAAAAACTATTATGAAATTAAACTCACGTATATGTCCACGTTATGTGCGAGAATAATCGCACAGCAAATGTTTAATTTTACATTTATATGCCAATTGTGATACTTGAAATTATATAATCATTATAACCAATGCTTTAATTATTAAAAAAAAAAAAAAAAAAAAAAAAAAAAAACAAATACAAAGCCGTTTAAGAATTATGTTTCGCCAATAAACACATACATCCATCATAACTCAGATTTAAAATTCAGGAAAGTATTTCGTCCACTTCACAATCGGAAGAAATATTGCTAATCTGCTGCAGAATATGGCTGAAAAAATAGAACAAGCTGAACAATCGTTACATATCAACCACAATGAAGGACGCAAAGTACGTAAATCGCCCGAATATCAAGCGCAACAGCAACCTCTTGTCGTACCCGCTAGCATAACAAGAGAACGTAGCTTCGTACGCACATCGAACCAACAAGTAAGAATAATATTAAATGAGACCCGATAAGAAACAAGCAGAAAAAAAAAAAACAACAATTACTTTGGCAGTCGGTTTTACTATGTATTGACATATACAGCCATGGGTCCATGAGTAGCATAATATATATTTTTTTTTAATTTTTTCATTTATTTTTAACTATATTTTTAATAAAAACTGATTTTATTTTGAAATCTCTTAGTAAATGTTTGCCTGCATTTTTCGTGCCTTTATGCGGTATACGCCGTGTACACGAGACATCTGCTTGATAGCCAGAATAAAAACCGAAGAGGTGGCACTTGAAATCGTAAGATCGACTCAAACCCATCAATACGGACAGTGCCCATATTATTTCCGAACACAGTCGCCGCAATCGTTTCAAAAGTCCGCCGGCAATTCGCCAGCAAACCAGCCACCATAGCTCGCCAATATCAATTGGGGGCATGATCAACTCTTTTCTGCCTTTGCTCATTCGGCAATTCGACATAAGCGTTTTCGTCAAAGTTATTGGACAAAGGCATAAATGCAAAATACTGCTGTTCTGAGAAGCTGTTGTTTTGTTTACATTTTTTTACGCTGTGGCGTTGCATACGTTCTTGTCAATGTTCAACATATACTGAACAAAAATTTTAGCTTGAAGGAATTATTACAACCTACACCGGCTGTGGTATAAGGCTATATTAAATCCGTACGGATGCATGCAACACCCAGAAGAACGTTACATCCAGCTTTTACTGTACCGAACGACTCAGAGTCACTTTTTGAAATTTAAATTGTCTGTCCGTCCGTCGCTATGTGCATCTCGTTTTGAATACTTGCATTAAGCGAAGTGGTGGGATATTAATTAATGGTGAGCAGTAGCCCATTAAAGTGCTTTTGCTTATTATACTTTACGCTACTTGTGGTATAAGGGTATTTGAAGGATTTAGATGTATGCGACAGCCGAAAAGAGTTGATGTGGACCCACCTTTTATTATAATGTCGGATTTAGAATCACTGCTTGAATCGATCTAAGCTTGTCCGCCCGTCTCTCCCTCTTGTTTTCTTGCGTTCAATTTACAGGCCGCAATTTTTGGGACATTTTGATGAAATTTCCTAAACCGATATATTTTGGCCGGAGAACGAACACTGTTGAAAATGGTCCTGATTGAAACATTTCTTCAACCACTTCTTATGTAGCATCTTATATTGAAATGCGGTTATGGTGAAGGGTATTTAATGGAGGACCATGGCCCAGTATAGTGTTTTCATTGTGTTTATTTAGAAAGTAAATCCTGGCAGCTTGTTTTATATAAATATGTATTCGTTTCTTTTTTTTTTTTTTTTATTATTAGAACCTTAACAAGAGGCGCAGCTTGGCTTTCAATTTACAGGCTAGTGTGAATCAATCGGGTCAAGTACGTGGCAAACCCACTATGGATATATATAGGCCACCTAGTAAGTGAAAAGAATAATTATTAACTTTAACTGTACGCTTAGATCACTCAAATCTAATCACATTTTCCAGCTACACCTTAACCAATATTTTAGTAGATATTCAAAGAATATAACATGAATTATTTAATTTAAAAAAAAATTATACTTTACTCGTAAGTGCCTCTCATTATTTATTTGGGGATTCTATTTAAGGACATTTAATTGAACGATTATTTCTTTTGCTTATGTATATGTACATATATTAAAGGAATACCTTTATATATATATGATAAGTAAGTAAGTATATCTTATATGTATATGCGTATGTATGAGGGGCTTTTGCTTATTAGAGTCGTTCCGCTCTTGCAAGATTTTTGCCGTTAACGCGGAGTTTTAATGCCGTCCGCGGAATTTTAATGCTTTCATAAGAGCACAAGAATATATATTTAGGCATAACCGCAGTTTTCCAGCATTGTCGACATCATCCGAAGTCAGATGCTTTATTCGTGCAAACAGTTTGAATGTTTTTTGCTAATAAGACCCCCTAGTTAGTTAAAACAAAATTACTTTTCTTGTTAGATATATTGTCGCTGTGAGTATCGTGAACCATATTTCGATTTTTACGACAACCAAACGTAGAGATTGAGCAAAAGTTTTGGTAAAGAATCTCCAGCTGCTCGGCTACCTGACCGTCATTTACATGTGTGTTTTCATCGCGTCGACTCATAAATCTTTGGTAATACTTTGACCACAGTGGTGATAGGTGGCGCAATATATGTGCACTATCGGGTATGCTGGACCTAGTTCCTACTATGGACAGAAAGGCCATCGTAATGTTAGTAAAGTGTGCTGTGATTTCAGTTATCCGTAATTGATGGAGAGACCAGCAATATGTCGATGTACTTAACCTCAAAAATTGCAAAGTGAGAATTAAACGTTTCTCTCAAATGAATTTTTAAGGCCAGATTTCAGCTGTGGTCAGTCGCATGTTCTACAAGCCAACCTCAGCGTAATTAGTTAAATAAAATCTCCTAAAATTTGGCATATGCATAATTGCTTTTGCTTAACCGCTTTCCGTCGCTTCGCTGCTCTTGCCGACGTTTGCTATCTTTTACCAGCGCTAGTCAACTTAAGAGACTATCGTCCGAACGAAATATTCGCAATTTGTCCACATTGGACATGCAATACTTTCACGGATAGGCATTATACGGAGCAGTAATAAGAAAACTATATGCACACGTCTCCATTACTAGCCGTTCAGTTGAAAACCAACTATTGGAACAGTAGGAAGATAAAATTTGGTCTTTGAACGATGATTCCGTCAAAAATTAACACAAGACTGACTATCGATATCGAAGATTTGCTTTGAAGCGAGTATAGCTTTCTAACCTACTTACCTATTATGTGTATTTTGTGTGTGAAATTCATTTATAATAACTAAATCGAACCAATTCTTCCTTTATTCACTCTCTTTCTCTTCTCTTTTCATACCGAAAACTTCATCATATTGCATCGTCTGATAAACTTTTTATTTACTGATAACAATTAAAATATTTTGGGTATTCGATCCGGGCTTATGTGTTATTATATATATTTGAAATGCAAACATATACACAAATGTATCTTAATGTTAGATGTTCGTAATGAAAACTTGAATAAATTGAATGTTCATGCCCAGGAATTTACGTATCCGTTGGTGGCCAGTACGAGATCAACACCCACGAACGACATCTATAATAATCGGTAATGATAAATAATTGCTTCGTTTTGCTTTTTGATTTGTCATTTGCAGAGTTAAACCATAATCTTCAACACTCTTCCAGTTCATCGATGGTTTTTCCGAATAATTCATCGGCATCGGCAGCATTGCAATCAATGCAATACGTAGCTGCAACAAATGCAATGGCTAATCGCCGCCAGGCGGGGCTCTCTATCGGTAGCATGCCCATAAGCAACATGAATGTTAAACATCACCATCGTCCGATTCTAGTAACTCACTCACATCCTATGCAAATGAATCATATGTCCGGCGGTATGGTTCAACAGGTGCCTTTGCTGAATTCACCATCAGGCGGCAATGTGTTGCACGTAAGTCGACTCTTAATACCAAAGATTGAAAGGTATTTTTTTGAAGATTAATCGGGCAAAATTTTTTTTGTTATCATCAGCAAGCGTCTAATACGAATCGAGTTAAATTTGCCCCGGAGCCGCAAAAAATGCATAACAAATCGCACCTGAACATGATGCATATAGTGCATATGAATAATGCATTAAATCAAAATTACCAACAACAGCAACAATTGAACGCCATGAATCAATACATAATGGCAAACAATCAGCAAATCAATCAAAATGGTCCGATCGATTCGCACGCTGCCATGAGTGTCACGCCATTACAACGCTCAAAATCTCTATCGTCAGCCGATGCTTTAACACGAGGCATTGCTGGCTTGGGCTTGGGGCTCGGTAACGAAATAACCGATATCGGTCAATTTACACCCGAAGTACAAGCCTTGGTCGATGCCGCTCTCGAAGATCCAAATAAATTGAATTCACGCAGCCTAATGGAACTGAGCTCACATTTTATCAAACGTGCTGTAGAGGGGCGTCGTTACGCTCTACCAATTTCTAGAATATGCTTAAACATTATCGCTAAAGAACAAAAGGAAACATTTTTAGAGGCCATCTTAAATACCTGCCGCCAATGGTATCAAGAGCGAGAAAAGGTCGGTTTCGAAAACCCATTTACTTTATTAAAAATAAAGAACAAAACATTTAAAACACTTTTCTTCCCTTCCTTGAGCAGTTACTCTTTCTGATTCAAGGAATGAAGTCGCCCTCTCGAGCTCGTTTTACCGCGTTTATGGCATTTCTAACCGAAATGTTTTGCCAGTTAAAACGACGACAATTACAATTGCGCACCCAATGCGAAGGTGCCCCACCACCCCTGGTACTACTCACCTTACTTTCCAAATGCTGCGAAGATTGCGTAAAACCACCTGTCAGATCTTTATCTGAGGTAAATCTAAGAATCATTCTTCACATTTTACAAATTATTACGTTTTTCTTATCAAATCGATTCTAGTCATTGCTACGGATTTCCAAACTTATAACAACGGAATAAAATTTTTTTAATCTTCCCTCCAGACTTACGACTTAACTGAAAGTAAAACTTTAGACAGAGCTCGAAAGTAATACTTTCAAGAATATATTCTTAAATGCGGTTCAAATCTTTTATACAAGCGTCAATCTGCATTAAAACTATGCGATGTTAGGGAAACTATTGGAACGAAACTTTCCATTTCCCTAAACTTCCTTACCTTTCTTTAAATCGGCTGTGATATCTCATAGCATACTCTCTTGTACCAAATATTTCGATTGTGATTACCAGTCCCAAGCATTCTATTAGCGCCGTAGTGATAAGTTGAGGTAGGGACATTGTACCTTTATTTGGAATAATATGAATTCGCTACTTGAACAGACTTCACTCTGCATCGAAGCTACCATAAAAGCAAAGGCCTTTAGGCTAACTTGAATGCGTCCAAATGGTTTTGTAAAACTTGCTATTAAGCGGTTTTATAAAGCAAAGATAGAGAATAAGAATTGTCCGCAAATTTCACGCTACGTGTGGACAAAATACTTTTCTCAGAAATTAAGAATTTTCGAAATTTAATCTAAAATTTAATAGAAAGCTGAATTTCGCGCCCATCGATCATTGGCACATAAAAGACTTCACAAAATGAGGTCAGGAAGAGACCTTCAATTTCCAACCAACTATTTTTTATTATTATAATTATTGTTGCCTTCTTGTCAGCCAAACTAATATTTCAAATTGGACAAAGCCTAAGCTTGCACATGCATTTTCCATTTTTACGCGCACCACCGAAGGGCGGGACGGACGCATTTTACTTCTTTTTTTTTCGTATTCTATGTAACACCCAAAAGTAAGCTTAAGAGACCCTATAAAATATATACATTCTTGATCAGCATGAAATTCTAACTAAAATTGACTAAACCTGTCTGTGCGTCTGCATGTCTGTGTGATGTTTGTTGTTGGCAGTCTCCTGGTCGCAAAAATGGAGATATCGACTTCAAACTTGATAAAAACATTAAAAGTTTTTGCACGCTAGTTGGGCCAAATTGATCAGAGTATAAACTGAATGCAACTCTGGTTTTCTTAAGAAAAAATTTATGCTCGATACTCAGAAATTATAAAAGTTAGAAGTTTGAAATTTTTCTACATTTACTTTATGAAACTGCCTACTATTTACGTGCAAAAATAGAAAAATCGGCCATGCCCACATGAAGTTACGAGTGATTAAAAATTTTTTGTTTTCACTTTTTTGAGGTTTTATGCAAACAAGACAGAATATTTAAAACACATGCTGCACATTCCTCCTTCCGAAAATATATTACCTGCCTAAAAATGGGTTCAGTCTAAAATGCATACAGTAAACACTGCGACCTGGTGGATTAATTTTTTCTTAATACCAGAGAGGTATGGGTATCACATAAAAGAAGGAACTTGTAGAGTAGAATGCGAGAAGCAATGTGGTGGTTATTTGGCCTCCGCCGAATATAACTTTTTTACTTGTTTTTCTAAATGCTTTGTAATTTATATGCGTATCCTGTTATTTCCAGATTGAATGCTTATTCTATGTGCTTACATGCATTGGACAAGATATGGAAATGCAATTACCTCAACAATTGGAGCTTTTACTCTCTATGATACGCGATGCCTTTTTGAATGCAAGCGATTCAGCTCCAGCCATACGTCGTACACTATTACAATTGATTGAATTGCAGGCTTCACATTGGCAATTGCCCGGCAACACTGTGCTCTATTATTATCCTTCAGCCAAATAAATAAATTTCTGACTTGTACTTGGATGCAATAATTTTAATCGAATCCATTTTTTCTATCATATTATTAGCATTAAATCCGATCCTTCAATCATTCATATTTTGAAACAAATCAATTAATTGAAAAATAATTTCTCTATATAAAATATATAATTTTTTTGCATTTACATATATAAATGCAAATTTTTAGTGACATCAAATAATAATACATTTTAAAAAAAATAATAATAATAAAAGAGAAAACACCTATATAAGTTAAAATTACTAACAACATTATAGAGATCAGAGATTTCAACAAAAAAGAAAAAATAGCAAAAAAAACAAAGAAAAATGTTTTCATTCTTAAATGCTCAACAGCTTCATATGAGTTAATATTGAAAATCTCTGCTTTATATTTTAATCTATTATTTATTTATTAATTCAAAACAATCTCGTATAAACATCTTACATACACACATTCATTACCTATGTTTATCGGACTTGAAAAAGATATATTGCAAAAAAAAATTTCGGGATTTTGCGATAATAAAAAATCTTGTTAATAAAATAGCGGAAATCTATTTTCCATTACTATATATACGCAACTGATTAAATGTTAATTTAGGAAAAAAAAATCATGTTATATACTCTTTAATCCCAAATAAGATATTCATATACACAAAACCTATACATCATTTATTTCTAAACTAGTCAAAAAACTATTACATACACATATACACACATCTACACAACAAGCCTTGTATAGATTATTTTTATTAATTTTATTTTTCATTTTTATTACAATTACAATTTTTACTTTCTTTCTTTAACATAATAAATTATTTATAAAAAAAAAATAAAAAAAATGCCTTTGAGTTCAAATTTGTCTTTTTGCAAGTTTTCACACAGCTGAATGCACTTAGTTTCTTAGTGTGTAAATCTCTTCTCCAGCTGATCGCTATCCAAGTAAAAACAAGTTTAGGGTCGTACGAGTTAACATATGTGAAAGGTGAAGGACTGAAGGATTAATTTCGAAAAAACGCGCACGGAACCACAATTCGAAATGTCACGCTTCATTCTCTGTGGAGTTTTCATTTAGTAAGGAACTTTCGTCTCTTTTAAGCGTTTGGCCAACGGAGAAGATCAATATATTATATCATTTATTAAAGTTTCACATTTCGTTCACTGCGTGGCGGTGGTTCGACATTGTTTTCCGGTCCGTTATGATGCTTTCATCCATTACGGAATGTCCGTACTTCCTTACTACGATACCCTCCAGTCAATTGTCGTGGTATTTGAGGTTTGTTTTGCTTCGAAGCCTTTAAACCTAAACGAACGTGAGCGGAAAGAGAATTTTAACCAAAAAACTTTAAACAAAATGAATAAAAATTTTGAGCTACTTGCGAGTAGAGAGTCTCTATACTAATTTAAAATTATTGTATTGTGGAGCATAGGTTGTAAATAAGGAAATAAGAAAAGAAGCGAATGCCGAATTCAGGGTTAAGACTGATACCATGTAAAAGAGATAGCAAAATTTTTGGCTTCACTCCGGCATCAAACGCCTTCCTTTCACCATTTTGCTTCATGAAATCGTCAGATGTATTGTAGGATATTAACGGACTCTGTGAGATAACAGCATCCGCAGAGAGCCATCGCTGCATCCAGCTCAGTTATGTGCAGCGCTGCATCCAGCTAAGTGCGGCGCTCAGCGGTGGACTGCGGCCAGTTATTGTTTTCAATTTTAATTTTTTTTATCAATAATCCACATAGATATAACATCTGATTTAAATTCGTCTTTCTCTTGGTCTAATTTTCAAGGCTTAGAACTTCTTACTTACCAAATCTTGCATTATATTGGTCTAATTTTCAAGGCTTAGAACTTCTTACTTACCAAATCTTGCATTATAGACATAGTAAAGCGATAAACGCCACTTATTAACGGAACTAGGTAATGGCCCTAACAGTTACTTTCACCAACTAATTAACTAAGCAAAAGCTTTTCATAGCGCTTTGGAATCCAGGTTTGAGTCACTATCCAGCTAAGTGCAGCGCTGCATTCAGTTATGTGCAGCGCTGCATCCATCTAAGTGCAGCGCCGCATCCACCTAATTGCAGCGCTGCAACCATATAAGTGCAGCGCTGCATTCATCTAAGTGCAGCGCTGCATTCAGTTATGTGCAGCGCTGCATTCAGCTAAGTGCAGCGCTGCATCCACTTAATTGCAGCGCTGCATCTACCTAAGTGCAGCGCTCAGCTGGTGGTGGACTGCGGCCCGTTATTGTTTTCAATTTTAATTTTTTTTATCAATAATCCACATAAATGTAACATGCGCTTTCGAATCCAGGTTTGAGTCACTATCCATCTAAATGCAGCGCTGCATTCAGTTATGTGCAGCGCTCAGCAGGTGGTGGACTGCGGCCCGTTATTGTTTTTAATTTTAATTTTTTTT